CCCCAAAACCCCAAAACCCCAAAACCCCATATATATATAGAATTGACAGGTAAGATAAAATAAGTATTAAATGTTTAAGTAAAGTAGGTTTAAGTTTAAGTAGTAAGTAGTGCTTTTGATTTAGTTTATCACACAAAGATGCAAAAACCGAAGCCTTCTTGATGCTCACAGGCCATTCTACCATTCAAGTAACTATATTTGTTTTTGGATTCAGTTTTAAGAGGATATTCAAATTTGGTAGCATAATAGCCACTCCAGTTCCAGAAAACCATTGCTCCATCTAATTAGCAATCAGCATTCGCTGTTCTCAAGGCTCCAGAATTCATGGTGCGAGTAGATGATTATTAGTTATTTCTAAGATATTCACGGAAATTCCAAAATTTGGAATCAAGTATTGAAGTATAGTTCTTATAATCATCTTTAGGAGCGATTGTGATTGCAAAGTAATAAAGTCTCGTTTCTTGACGATTGTTGATTTAAGTTGTATAGAAAAAGGAAATTCTTTTTTTGCCTTAACCATCAGGATAGGTTTTTGTAGAATTGTCTGAGAAAAGATGCACATCCACGTAAAACCCTGGCTTAATCAAATCCATAGTATCCATAACTTTACCTGCAAACTCTGAACTATTTACTCGTTATTATTACTAATGGAAGAGATTTATTATATTAACTTTTGTCATGTTTTACCAGTCTTAAACAATATTCCAATATAGGTAGGCATTAGAATAGGGTACTTAGTAGCTACTCATTTATAATGAACGAGAGTAATTTACTCTTCGATCTGAACTTGTAATGTCAATATATTAAGAGTTGATATGAGTTGATTGCATGATAAATGCTTAATTTGCAATTAGTAAGTATGAATTAGCCATATTCAGCATAATTGGTAAACCGACAAATGAATTTGAAACGCTTCCACTTTAAAGGATATCAAATAATCTACAAATAGAGCTTATGTTAGATAAACTATCTACAAAGAATGATGAGTATCAAGCAAGACTATTACTATCTTTCATGGCTTTTTTATATAGCTAGTATTCTTAAGTTTGCATTCCTCTTCCATAAGCAGCCAAAAAAAGT